ACTTACAAAATGCAATTGCCACCAGTTTTACTCCATGTTCACTAGGGCTCCCAGTGGGTCAGGGAATGGGGAGCCCTTTCCTCTCATTCCGAGCTCTTATTCTGAGCCCCAAGCCTGGACCAGCCCTGGTAGCCCCTGCTCAGTCACTGATTTTTATTCTCAAAGCAATTTTGGTATCAGGGTGAGCTTCCATTCTAGTAGATCTTGCAGCTCTAAATAGCAGTTCATTCTCTGGCATCCCCTCCCCTGTTTCTAGTTGTTTTGCACCCTAAATTGTATCCACCTGGGAAAGAGAAGCCTTTCTCCATGTGCATATGAATCACCTGGGGATCTTATTGTGCAGATTCTGAATCTGTCTGGGTGAGACTGAGATTATGTCTAAAGAGCTCCAGTGGATGCCAATGTTAGCAGACCACATGACCTTCTTTTTCAGGCATCTGCTTCTGATTTAATTGGTTCCACTCAGTCTTGAATTTGGCCCCTTTCAACTGCTAATTTGATCCACGGGGCTCTGGGACCTCAGGCTCCTCTGATCTCACTATTCACACAGCCAGACTGCCTTTTCTCAGCCCACTGGCACTGCTCTGGAGGCATGGCCTCGGTTGGAGACTGTCAGCCTCCCATGTCTCCTCTGGGCTGCACTGGGCTGCAGTGGGCCTTCAGGGGCCTGGTAATGTGTGGGCAGGGGTCACTCAAACCTCTGCTGAGTGTATGCTTTTCTCCTTCACAATTTCTTCCTTTCCCCAGCCTCAACTTTAAACCCTTTGTCAAGAGACATCAACTGTTACCTCATCTTTTCCATTCAAGAACCTTTCTCTGTCTTGGATATCTAAAGTAGCACAAAAAAAAAAAAAAGACATATAATGAAATAGAAATAGAATGGGACCACATATGTACTTTTAAATTTTCTACTAGGTACATTAAAAAGTAAGAAGAAACAGGTGAAATTCATTTTAATATATTTTATTTAACCCAGTACATGCAAAATATTATTAGGACACATAATCAATATAAAACTATTGAGATGCTTTATTTTTTCTTACTAAATCTTAAAAATTCAGTGTGTATTTTATATTTAAAATATCTCATTTCTGACTAGCCACACTTCAAGTGCCCAAGAGCCACATGTGGTTACCATGTTTGTCAACAGTTATATATAGTTTATGCTTAGATCAGAAGCCAAGCCTTTACTTCTTATTGTATTTCTTTTTTTTTCCAATTCTATTCAGTTATAGTTTACATCTTAAGTTAAAATTTTAAGCATAAAATTCTAAAGTTTTTTATTTTTTAAAAATTTTCCTCTTTTTTTTTTTAAAGACAGAGTCTCACTCTGTCACCTAGGTTGGAGTACAGGGGTGCGATCAGGTAAGCGGAACAGCTTTGCATTTCTGCCTTCAAAAAATACCTTGTTTTCCTTTACTGCGCCGGGCACCGAGGACCACACCCAGTGAGCTG